CTCTCCTCAGTTGCATACCAGCAGGTAGGAGACCTGCAAAACGAAAAATGCAGATGAATACATAGTTCATTCTCTTTGTTTGCACTGCGCTGACAACGCAGAGCAGCTCCTCATGCTTGTCAAAGCTTTGCTGCTGGAGACGAAAGTCATGTTCCACTCATGTGATGCTTCGCGGGCATCCACAGCTGTTCTCTCATTTATTTCGCTCCTCCCGGGTATGGCGCTACTTCCACATAGACTACTGTCTCAACTCCCTCTGTGATACCTCAAGGGAGGTTGTATAATGCGATAGAGGCAGGCGGGCGTCACTGCATGTAGTGTAGAGGGGCCTCAAACATAATTGTTGACGTCGTTGCACTCGGTGGAAGGCCCAAGAAAGACGCAAACAGTAGATTCGTGTGTTATCGTGGCATTTTCGATGGCAATGGCTTTCTGCCGGATTCACGGCTTTTGCATGGCCAGACGAGATGCATCGAGTTTTGGGGGCTATTTCTGCAGGTGGATTGGCTTGTGGTTTTTCTAGTGACGGCTTTGGAGAGCATGATTACCGCTGGAAACGTCACGGGCTCCCATTCAAGGTGTTTGAGTATCGCTCGGCTTTTTTTCCTATCCTTCCTCTCGATCTAGTAGACGACCTGCTTTTGCAGAAGAGGGCATTTCTTATATCTTCGACTAATCCTACTCTGGCAGCGCACCCAGTTGTCAAGCCAGACATCGTAGGCAAGTCTGTGCATCTTCGTAGCGTTCTTATTAGTGGCGCCACAGTGCTTGGCCTCAATAAAACTGATTCAGTACTGAAGCTTGAGTTTCGATGCTCTTTTCAGTGGACGTAGACACTCTAACCGTCGAGCTACAGAACGCGACCCTGGTGCCACTGCTGCGGTTGACGGATTGGGAGCAGAAGTTCGCGAATCGTATGAGCGTGGAGACTTCATTTTCTTGTGGGGCGTTAGGAAGCAATAGCCCCACTTATGGAAATAGCTGCAGCATCTCGAGGCATGCAACAGATCTGTTGCAGCAAACATTCTCTTCCCTCGCTAACCACGCAGCGGCGCATGGAATCCCTTTCTTGAGGTCCAAGGATGAATGTGAGCAGCTTGTAGACAGTCTGATACCCTGAGCGTTTCTTCTCGGTATAGCTATTTGCTGGAAAGCTAATGTTTGATGGTTGTGTGTGGTATTGCAGCTACGGCTTCACCATCAAAAGTGGTGCCTTCAAACCTTCACGCTTCGACTTATCCTAAGGCAGACTATTCGTTTGCAGGGCAGCAGCAAAGACGAAGAACTGCTTCTGCCGTCTCACCTAGGAGCAGCCGCCACTGCAGTAGCCGCAGTAGCAGCAGCTTGAGCCGGACAGAGCGGATCAATTACACGGGCATCGAAGGCCGATGGGAAGCTGAAGCTGTTAAGAGGGATGACGGCACCAGCACATCAGGAACTCTATGCAATGCACCTTCTGGAGAGGCACGTAGTGGAGTGCGTGGACGCGATACTTTTGTTAGGAGCAGCTCGAGCGGTTTGGATGCTGATTTAGAAGAGCCGCGGCAGCACCACAACACATCTTTTAACAGCATTCCGTGCACCTACCCTGTATGCGGCGGTGGAGGGGGGTGGTTGAGTGGTCGCCTTAGGTGGGGTTGGGAGCGCCAGGCTGATCGACAGACTCCCACTAGTGCTGCCGCATCCGGTGGAAAAAAATCGCGCAGAACGGTTGCTAGTGAGGAATGCCATAAGGAGGCTGAGTCTCCAGCTATTTCTAGTAAGGCAGGGGATCTGCCAGCCGACAGGCCCGTCGTACAGAGGCTTTGCTCAGGCATTAGCGGCTTGCAGGTAGAGAGCAGGAGCAGCAGCGATGCCATGGGTTTCCCTTCCGTGTTTGATCCAAACTGGGAAGCACATGCAGACCTCATACGTGCAGCGTTTACACAGCATCTAGAGCAGCTATGCAGGTAGGCGGTGGTTTCATATAACATGAAAAGCACAAGGGCTCCGGGGTTGCAGAACTACTGCGCCTTCGTGTTGTGTTACCGTCACTGCGGTCCTTTCAAGCGGTGCTTGCCACGTTTCCGAGCAGCCTTTGTTGGTATTAATTGCTACACAGGAGAGCAGCCATTGCTGCTGGCCCTGAACGCTCGAGGCAGCAGCTCCTGCGGCAAATCTCCTTTCCGTCAGCAGAAAGCGGTGATCTGAGTGAGTTCGGCGTCGAGTGGGTCAAAGCGTGGGCAGACACGCATAACTTTCAGGTGGGCGCCTGTTGTTTTACATAGATACAGCGTAAGTTGTAGCTAGATTACTGGCGTTGGCAGGTCAGTTTGCAGATGTCCCTTCGTTGTAGCAAGCGAGCTCAGGTTCTGCTGGTTTCAGGCTTGGCTTCTAGAGCACCAGCTGCCGAACAAAGGGGCTCCTTCCGCAAAGCATGAGATTCTGCAGCCTCCGCCCACTTGCGGCTACGCGAGGTATCTTTACAGCAATGGAGATTGCTACGAGGGCCAATTCTCGTCATGTCAGAGGCATGGAGATGGTGTTTACTCTTCTGCTGACGGCATGAGGTAATTGCTCAACCTAAATTTTTAAGCTAGGATTGCTACAGGTGTTGTACGCTTTCTTTGCCATTCTGGTGGTAGTTTGCGTTGCGTATTCTTTGGTGCTGGGCAACAGATACGATGGTTCGTGGGTTCGCGACGAACGACATGGACACGGGGTTCTTGCCCATGAGTCTGTGGGCTACTTATATGTAGGCCAGTGGCAGCACAATAAAAAGTGCGGGGAGGGGCATCTGTATTCACGCAGTGAGCGATACTGGGGCCAGTTTCTCGACAATAAATACCATGGGCGGGTGAGTTCTCTGCATGCTTTGTACAACTTCCGTGATTAGTCCTATTGTTGCGCACTCAAGAGGTATGCCTCTGTTGTTCCTATCACATGGCCATTGATTGCGGTGCTTATTCACAATGCCACTACTCGCAAGAGAGCTTTTGCACGTATGGATCTAGACCACATCAGCATCACGATCCCCGCAGATGTTTGTGGAGATGTGCATCCGGTATTTAGGGTAGATACGTACGGCGAGACGGACTGGAGTACGAAGGGGAGTTTGTGAGGGGCCGTTTTGAAGGTCTGGGGAAGCTAACAATAATGCGGAACGAGGGAAGGCAAACTCTTGCAGAAAACCAGGAGGGCGTTGTGGTCAGAGGCGGTTTCGAGGGTGGCAAAGTGACAGGTGTCGTCACTGCGGTTTACTCTGATGGAAGAACTTACACAGGAGAGCTTTCTGTAGGTTACCCTCTACGCACGAGGCCACAGGGCCTCAGACTTGATTGGTTTGGCTTTTTCTGATCACCGCGATTACAATGTTGCCGTATCACACGTTGGCAAATCACAAGCTATTTGCAGCAACGTATCTAATTTTTGCCGCACCAGTTCTATCCGAGGTACTTATTCCCAGTTTCTCGCGGTGCACGCTTGCCTTCGTTTCAGCCTGAAACACTTCAGCCGGACGGATGTGGCAGCATGCTCTATAGGGATTCCTGTCTGTACGACGGACAGTGGCGCAATGGCTTGCGTCATGGAGCCGCAGTGCTTACAATCCCTGTGGGAGTTATACGGGATTTGAGCTCGATTACATGCGTGAATGAAGCCGGCGCCGTCACCGTAGATGGCCAGTGGAGAGACGGCGCACCAGACGGCGATGCGGAGTGGAGTGTCACTTTTCCCAATGGAGACAAGTACTTGGGAAACCTGAAATTTCCTACCACATGCAATGATCGGGCGGCAGGCAGCGTGGAAGATAAGGATTTTGCGCAAATGGCGATCGCAGAAATTGTCCCTCATGGTTGGGGACTGAGCAAGCGAAAAGACACCGGAGAGGTGTACGAAGGGCATTGGATAGACGGCATGCGACATGGAAGTGGAGTAAGTCAAGCGCAAATTTGAGACGCGCCTACACTGCGTCAAGCTATAGGTACTGACAGGTGTCGTAGGCATATTGTGACATCTCAGCTTCTCGCTATAGTGGAGCGAGCTGCTTCAAATTGTAGCGTCATTAGGCGTTTGTGCAGGCAATGGCGTTAGTACTCAACCTACTTCGAAGACTGCAGATAGACTAAAGCGAACATAATTGATGACTTGCACCTTCATCTTTTTGACTGCTTTTTCGTCTGTCCGTTCAGGATTGCATTACGCGAAGTGGCGAAAGACACTCGGGCGACTGGCGATTTGGCCATCTGCACGGGAAAGGCCGGCATTACGACTCCATTTCGGGCTGCACATTCGAAGGCACTTTTCACTTCGGGAAGTTTCTGGGAGAAAGCAGTCCAGGCTCAGTAAGGGAGGAGCAGCGTATTGAGCCACCTGAGGGGACTCCGAAGCTTTTATTTGAAGCTTTTATCACATTCCCACTAATTAAATGCCCTTTGTTTCAGCAAACCAGTACGGTGCGTACTAATCCGTGCACTGTCTCCTCTCCTAAAGGCCTTATGAAATAAGGCAACTGGCATGGCGGACTGCAACAGCGGCATCATGAATCAACATTCACCGGGAACAGGGTAACTCAAGTACTTCACTTGATAATGACGGGCCATTTTCTTCCTGCATGAAGTGCTTTGTAAAGCATGACCAAGTGCGCAGAATGGTCATGGACTGCCCAGTTTGGGCGGTCTTCGCTGTGTTCGTTTAGAACAGCAGTGCAAGCAGAAAGACTGCAATTATGAGTTCGTACTACGTAACATGGGCATCCGTAGCATTTGTGCCAGCTTTCTTAGCAAGCACTGTCTGGCACAGAAACTAGCCGTGATAGCCGTAGTTGAGCAACTGTGTGAATCTAAAATTTCAGCCGCTTGTTTCAACCCTCGGAAGGTTGCGAATGACAGCAAAAGCACGCAGTACGTGTTCTGGCGACACTTCAGAGTGCACACTTCACTCTGAAACACTTCAAGCGGCGTACATACTCAGCGCAACCCCTCTGAGGTTTCTGAGCTAGCCGCTCTGAAACGGTGAGCAAGTCAATATTCCTCGAATGCCGACACATCTTCCTCTGTCACTTTACGTGGAATTCGAGTTGCAGGGTCGGGTCCACTCCTCTGACGGTTTTCCCACCATGTGTGAAACGTATGAATATCAAGGTAGTAGTACATGAGGTTTGCCAAAATATCGAGCTCTTCGCACCTGTAGTCACCATAAGCAAGCTAATGCAGCTCTTCAGTTCAAGAAATGAGCCAGTACTGTGCACGCAATGCAGTGCAAAAAAAGCGTAACTTGACTGCTTACCTGAGGTTTGTGGGCAGTCGAAGAGTTGTGCGCATGTGAGCCAAGAAATGCCGATATCGCCGCTGCAGAAGTTGCAAGCACATCACACACCGGAAAATTTTAGAACGTCCGCGAAACAGCGGTGCTTGTTGTTGCATGAGTTGCTGGATTTATTACCCATGACGCACGCGCATTTCTGTCCGATTAGACGTTTCCTTAACGTTCTCCGCTAGCTGCTCGACAAAGCTTCCACCAATAGTAACCCTCTCTTGAAGCTTTTTGCTAACCGCAGCTTGCGCTGTTGACTGCCTATGGACCGCAAGTGCATGCGAACAATTAAAGCAACTTTCTTTTAGGGACCTGCAGCCGACCATCTGTCGGGCTGAAATTGACAACTATCCGGCCACCCATATTGCTGTTTACCTCTTGAACATTTGACTGATGTCTGGTTCATCCTGTTTTTCTTTTGGATCCTTCTTTTCCTTTAGCCTGCGACATTGAACAGGTGCCCTTTGTTGACTGGATTTTGAGACTTGTGAGCGATGGCATCATTAAACGACTGGAAAGCAATGGCAAATACATACTTTCCTAGCATCAGCATGACCACTTTCAGCTTCGATATGGCCCTTTTCAACTTCTCGAGCGGAAATGAGTAGGACTGGGCAACTTCAAAAAGCTTCTTTGAGTTCCCTAAACATTGCAATCACAGCTAATCGTCAAGCTTCAATTAGCTGTGTCAACATCGGCAAGGCCACTAAGCAGCAATTAACGTTCGGCTCAGCCAGACTTGTTATAGACACAGGTGGCGGTGTACATTAAAATGCAACAATAAGACACTTTTCTGGCCAGTGATTTGAAGTCTCCAAGCTCTGAGCTTTTGGGTAATTCGGACCTGAAAGGATGAGCTGACAAGTATTCGATACAGCCACCTCAGATTTCGATAATAAGTGCCGCAGATAACGGTCCATTATGCAGCCACAAGGTGGGCTTCCTTTGCTGTCTTCCCCTGCAGCGATGCAAAGCGCACACGCTTGTCACGAAGCTACAAAATACATCCTGGCATCCCGAACTCCAATTGCCGACTACGCATGTTTCCGCAAGTGCCAGTCTCACTTGGATGACACAGTAGAAACATGATATCACTATCTTGGTCGAGGAGCTGCTCTCTGGGAATTCTGAAGGGGTAGTGTTCAATGTACTCCATTACCTGCTTATCGGACCTGGTCGCAGGGTCGGAATACGGCAGATAACCAACTCAAATGCCTTCGTATTTTTGTTTTGGCTCTATCAAGGCGTTACAACCTGAATGCCAAGTGATTTATCCCAATGCTAGGTTACACACGGGGACATTAAGTGGAGAACACGCTACTGGGCAAGAACGTAATCACAGATAAACCTCACGTTCCGGAAAGGTCTAACAACCAAGTAAGGAACGAATGCGAAGTCACATCACCCCCTGATTTTGTATACGCGATTTCGAAGATGTCGTAGGAAACAGCTCTGAAACCTGCGTAGCAATCATTGATGCATGTGGAACGTAGTTGATCGTGTTCGGTAGACGCTCCGTAGCCAGCTCAATTTCCACTCAACTTCTCTATCTGCACTGATCCCCAGGTGAAGCGAACTTCTTGGCACTAGCTAAAAGGCTAAGTACATACTTTGTTTTTCAAGGTAATCAAGGAGGAGAAAGAGGGAAACTAGCCTTGAAACAAGCTGCTTCTCCACCGCAAAATTGATATAAACGACGAACATATCGCTAACCAAGTCCGGTATAGCCGGGCTAATCATGTCGCTAGCAGATTTCGACTGCATAGAGGCTGCACAACATGGCATCAAGGAAGCAGGCAGTTTTGTGTGAAGTCTACACAAGCAAAACAGGACCCCTCAATTAGTGGCCAGTCTTAAAGTAACGAACGGCATGCTTTCATTGCAAAAGGCTAAAAGCCTTATTCGGCTCTCAAGATCACGAACTAGGCTTTATGTTGCAGATACGCAAAGTAATTCTGAGCGAAAGAGCGTACGAAATATGGGGTGATCTGCAGGATCAAGTTGGATCACGCCGTTATCCCTAGGCACTTCCTTCTTCGTATGTAAATCACCAGCATCTTGCTTCTCAACTCCTATACCTTCACGCCCGCTTGGCTTAGACGAGACAGGACCACCAGAAAGGGGCAGTCCTGTGCCTGCAGCCGCAGGGAGTTCACATTTGAAAGGACCAGACAAGGTCTACACGGCGCGGGCAAGAACTGCTTGACGCTGTCGGTGGCAGCAAGGCATTCTTTTCAGTGGTCGTTCGTTTGGTGATAATGAGGCGATGCTGCTTACTTTCGTTCAGACTTCCACACATGACGACGCTTGGCTGCTTGTTTAGTGAGACTAAAGCCTGCTCGTCTTCCAGATTGGGCAGAACACATTTGACTTTCAAAAAAAATCGGTTAAATGGCCGAATCGTCTCAAAAATCCCGTAAAAGTACGGATCCGGTAGGCACCAACAAACTCTGTAGATATGACAGTACAAAGTTCATGGCAGTCATAGAAGCATGATACAACAATAAAACGCTTACTGCATTGCTCTGTCCTTGGGTCGCGTGCGACACGTTGAAACTGTACAAGCCTCTGGAAGGTAGAGATATAGCATACCTTGAAAATTCGTTGTCAGGTCTATAGCGGCGCAGCGAAGGCTTAAGAGTTAGTCTGGCAAAGAATTTAATCACAAGCATCCATGTTCAATAAGAACGAACTCGTTTGCCTGCGCAAAGTTCCAAACACTGCTACACCTGGGGCGTACCTTGTGAAGGCGTTGCGAATCACGGCCTCGTACATAGCGATGCAGCGGCGATATCGGCCTTGGTTTGCCAACAAGACAGCAAGCAGTTGACCTGAAATGCGCAGACAGCATCGCTCACGACCTCGTGCACATCAGTAAGCAGATCGGGACCCCCCAAAAGCCGCTTCACAGCGATCTTTCACAACTACCTGTCGTAAGTGTCTCCAGGTGGTGCTTCCCCAAAGTCTTGACCTGCCACTGAGATAAGCATGACAAGCAGAACAAGCAGGTCGACATTCGGAAATGTTAAGCAGAAATGTTCAAGCTTTCTAGTTGCCCTAAGTGTCACCGCAGACTCAGCAGCCGAAGGGATCACAACAGAACTGAACCACAAATACCTGAAGTGTTTGGGATGCAATGTCAACTCCTCTTTGCAAGATTGTGCCTCCGGCATCCTTCTTCGTGGCTTTAATGAGTAACAGTAGCGACATCGAGAACTCTCGAGCCGCCGTCAGAGTCATTACGTGCCTTGTTCCCTTAATAAACATGCACACAACAATGCAACCCTACTGAGCGGAAAATGAAGATTCAAGCAAAAGGGCGCCAACCAAGTACTAACACTCGTATACAAGCGACGCTATGCTGGGAGACATACAAAGTGGAAATCATAGGCATCCAATGCCCACTGAAGCATCATACAAGAGCTGTTTGCCATCGAAGCCCTCTGTTCCTCTGTCATCAATTCCTGCAACAAAACGGTAGCGTTCTAAAGGATTTACAAATGTTTTTTTGAAAGGTTGAAAAAATGTGTGTACACAGAAACGAATCAGTTGGCCAGTACTGGTTACAGTGCATATCAAACGGACTTTGCGCATGTAGCTGCGGCGGTCAAATGCAAGAACGAGCTTGCTATGAGCCAGCATCCTGAGAAGCCCGGCCATTTTGGGAGTTATTGGAGCCTGTGGTATTCCAGCTGGGATCTGCACAAAATATCCACCGGCAAAGAGTCACTGCTGACTTTGAAGTGCTCATATGCTTGTGGCACCACACGCCTGAACAGCACTGAAACGCAATAATATCTGAAGTTCCTTACTTTGGATGTTTCGTCTGTTGCGGTCACGGCAAGAAGCTGCTTGAGAGCTGTAAGCTGCGTACACAGACAAAAGCAGTATATTTGACGAAAAATGCAGCATTGAGGAAAGCACACGGCAAAGCAGTTGGCTTCTTGCGCCCGCAGACACCTTGGGTACTACATGGGTTGATGTTCCGCGCGTACGTCCTGGGGTTCTATTGACACGGAAAGAGCAGCGCTTAGGTATAACGCAGCTTGCAAACCCGATATGCACTCTCGCCAATCGCGTCCAAGATAAGACAGCCTAAAAGCACCACAGAGGCAGTTCAAAATTAGACCAGTAGCCTTCAGCATTTTGCAACGAGGGCGATGCAGGCAATGAGAATGCTTGGCGCTCCAGTGATGTTGAACACAAGCGTAGTTAGCTGAATAACGAAAGCTGGCACTCACCAAGCTTGTACTACTATCACGTCCAAAGTTGCTGGATGATGGCCACCCCAATGGTATTCGAGTACGCGTTGAATCCTGTGCGCAGTAAGTGCAAGTTGGGCCTTAGGGGGAGGCTCCGCTGAACCGTGAGCCGCCGCCAAAAGAAGCAGTAGACGGGCCGGGACCTGAAAGGGAAAGCGAGCTATTTTATGCATTCCTCCTCCGCACGCGAGAATGTGTGAAATAAATAACAGTGAAGTTACCGTAAAATGTGTATTTGCTGCTATTTAGTTCCATTTTGGCTGTACTCTTGCAAAAGGCTGAGTGCACAATGAGGAGCTGAACAAATTGAATCGCTGCGCGCCTCAGGATAATTCTCACAGATGCTGCATGTGCTTCGGGATACTGCAAGATACATCGCTGCGCCAGCAAGTGGCCAACGTCCCAAGCCTCGTATCTGCATGCACATACAAATCGAGAAACACATGCGCATCCCCTTAGTCCATCACCTTTCATATAGTTGACAGTAATATACATGCCTGGGACCCCAAAACGTACCTCAAAGCAACGCCTATTAGCTCAACTGTAGCATCCTCCACATCCCAGGAGTCCTGGTGTCAGTACAGGCGAACTTAATCATACTACTCTTTTATTGGACATAAAATTTTCGAAGCTATGAAGAAAGAAATGTGAAGTAGTTAGTCTGAAGGTGCAGAGGTGCAAAAGTGGGGCTCTTGATAGACAGAAGGCGTACCTGTGCAATTAACAGAGGGTGCCCCTGCGTGGTGCTGTACATCGAGGCAATGGTTGATGCGCTCAGACCCTTTCTCATATCCTTGCGCGTATGCCAAAGTGGGCTGCTGCACTGAAGTACAACATGACCGATCAGCCTTGAGACAACATTCTGAGCTGGGGAAGGGCTTTGAATAATAGTTGAGCCAGACGGGTTTGCTAGTGGCAGCAAGGATGGGTCTCGGACCACAGAGATCAGCGGCAGAGAACTGGGGACTACAACAGAACGCGCAAGCTTGGGCACCCAGCTCTGCAGAGATCATATAATCAATGCGCAGCAGCTTCACAGGGCGATGCACCATAAATTCTTTCGCAAAGACTGAGTTTTCAACGGTTTTTCATGCAATGTTGCCGGCCATAAAGACGTCTTGACTCACCCGGATATGGGACGGCATGAGTGGAAATGCCTTGCCTAGCATTTTGCCTACTGTTGCCGCGCAAGGGAAGAAATTAATACCGCAGTGTTGCTATAGTAGCACAAAAAAGGCATTAACACACAATATGACTTTAAATTGTCTCTGTAGTTTTCGGATGGCAAACTCGTCACAATTTTGTGGCAAACGTTTAGGCAAACTCAGTATACCTGAAGGACCAGATAGAGTGTCCTTGTTTGCATTAAAACCGCTTGGCAAGTTTAATGTACCTGGAGTGATATGTAGAGTGCTGGCAGGTATATTCTGTGCTTCCACACCATGGACGCTTCGAGATCGAATAGTTTTGAGCATCTGTTATGCAGGAGCCACAGCAGGGTGAAAGATAGGCTACGCACCATAAAGCATAATACCCTAAGCAGCTCAACGCTTGTGCAACTTCAAGATGTAGGTCAAAAATATGAATGGGGCTGGAAAGAGCGTGAATCTTTTGACCCCTGCGGTATACCTGTGGCATAAAAAGCTCCTCCAAAATTCCTCTGACTCCGTGCAGGATCCAATGGTCACGTTAAATAAGTTCAGGGCGACAATATCTGTCCTAAGAAACAAATTCAGTCCGGCATGCGCAACACGTTCTTATGCAAGCATGCGTCTCTTGAAACCATGCCCTACAGCTGCTGAGCCATAAGAAAGCTATGTCGCATTGCACGCGACAACGCAGCCGCTTCGCGTACCAAGAAAAGACGCGAAATCTATGTCTCGTCAAGTCTAGCAAATAGGGAGAGTCGTCAAGTAAACGTGACGCGACAAAAAGTGGAAGTTCCAGGAATTTCTCCCTTAGCAGTGATTCTTTGCTGTACATTACGCGTCCTTCTGCAGCTCGACAGAAATAATCAATTTGGGAGAAGCTTGATGTGACACCCTGTTGATTTTTCGTGGTGGGTCACTACGTGGGCAGCTGTATTCTTGCGAGCTAGCCCAGTAGTGTTGCCTCTGTTCACCTTGTTCCTTAACTAGATCTTCATAGTGTACGGAATCATCACTGGTAGCTAGACTCTCTGTGTCGTCAGCATTTGTGGCCTGGAGCACAACAGTACCAGAACAGAAATTGCAAGAAGCTAAGCGGAAGGTAGCAAATCACGTTTACGGCGCCCGATCTGGCGCAATGCAGTTCTTTCTGCCATACAAAAGCTCTGTTCAAACCGTTACATGGCACGCAGTTGGAGAGACTCACCTCCATAATATCTTGCTCGTGTCCTCGGACCCGCAAAAGGGAGCTTATCTCCTCTGCACGTACCATGAAGAACAGAAGCCCCATATGAGTTGTCACCACCACCCGTCAGATAATTTGTTGACGTTCAAACACTGAGAAGCTGCATTACGAAGACCTCTGGAAGGACAGCTCGCTTACCCAAAGCTTTCGCCATGCCCCTTGCCTCCAGTTCAAGATTCGTGCAAAACACCAATCGGCGGATGACTCCCTTGAGCAGCTGTTTTAGCGTGCGAGCTGGGATGACGTGTCCAGATGGCGAGCACACACATAGCCAAGCACAAATTTGCATTTCTATCCGTAGTCATAAACCAAAAAAGCGCATCTGTGTTTCTTAAATTACATTGTAGGTTTTCTGGATAAGTGGGCTTACCAACAATTTCCACCAAAAGCATGTGTTGAAGCCATGGGCTTCGTGTCCGTTTACACATGACGCCTGAGAAAGACGCGTTGGCGGAAGAGTAGTCATCCCCATGAAGGCACATGAAAAGAGCCACAACTTGCGCGATACAGCGGACTGCTGGCTTTCACCAGCAGAAAAACAGTTCCTTTCTCCGGAAGCTTTCTCTATGCAGATTTACCTAGTAGCCGCATGTTGATGCCTCGCCTATGAAGGTAGTTCGTCAGAGATATTGAATCATGTGGGCCATAGGGGTCCATTCGCTCAAGTTCAGCAATGGCACTAAAGGAACGAGCAACACAAGTAACCCTAGTGTGCAGCATGCACTGGTGTAGGAACTATACTTTGTATGGCTCTTACTAAATGCGGATGAAACGTGAGAGCGGCATTGTGAGGGAGTTAAGTTCACAACCTACTCATCAAGAACAACGGACTTCACGATGGTTCCAAGACGCTGTGCCTTTCTTCCGGGGAGCGAATTGCCGCAGATAACGGGCTCAACGTTCTCTCTATACGAACGGCTGTACGAGCGAGTGATGAAGTGGACGCTGCAAACAGAAAACGCTCACGGAACTCTTTCAAGAAGCTAGGTACGGCCTTATCCTTTTAACGTTCCATTATGACTGTAAACTTGCAAATCTCGGAATGCTTCTGCTCTGACGACGCTAGCCACTTACAGCTCGTCCACAGGGGAGTACAGACGGCTGAATGGAGACCTTACAATCGCATCTTGGAAAGTCTGGTCAGGCTGCGTTGGCTGCATATCAAGAGCGCAAAAAGTAATCACAAACGCCCTTTCAGTGCAATATACTTCCGGCCTATCCGAAGACACAGAGCAGTGGGTTCGTAGATACTCTGGTTAACATCGGGTTTCCCTGAATGCTTCCCGTGTGAGCTGACCTTTGCTGTCATCTGCGGAGGCAGTTGTTGACTGTTTTTCAGTGCCATCTCCATATCGGCGGAATACTCAAAAGGGACAGTTCGAAGGCGTTGGGAGACGGAGGGACGGGGGCCGCTGACATCCTTCCCAGAGAACAACGGTAGCGCATAACATGTCTGTGCTCAATAAATCACATCAGCACCGCATGATTGAGATGCGAATGCAGTAGCAGAAACAAAGGAGATGGGAAAGAACACTACCTGGAAAACACAGGCGGGACGTACTCGATAAAGCATCATCGTGTCAGTGCCTCTGTTCTTCACTGATAGCAGGATTGTCACATCACGAGCGTGACGCTCGGATGACACTGGCTTCAGCAGGTTGCAAATATTCAGTTTAGTCTCTATAAAAGAAACTTCCTGTGAGAAATCAATGAGAAAATCTCTGCACCATTCCGCTGTGAGACAAGCTAAGAACACAAATGTAATTGGCAGAGCGGCAGCAAATCGCGAACTGGTAGCTACTCACGTGACGAACACGAGCAGAAAGAGGTTGTGGCCATGCGACCACCTCTGGTATGGACTCCGGCAACGGCAACACTACAACACGGAAGCCTTTGTAGTCTACAGCTGTATGGAAAATCGCAAGTATAAAAGATAGCCGTCACACTGCAGCCTTTTCCAATGAAGAAAACAACTAGCCAGAACTACATTATGAGCTTAAAAATGTCAGCGGAATAGTACAATGCAGGAAAATGCTTCACAAAGACAGCTAACTGGACTCACCAGTCATAAGAACAGTATTTAGGCTTGTTAGACTGCGTCTCTGCGTACTCTTCGATTTCCCAGTCTATAAAAGATTCAGCACACCACAAACGTTAGCGTCGCTGCTCACGGGAATACGCTACTCCGTAGTCATGTACGTAGCATTGAGAAGTTCTCTGGGAACTCTGCTAATATCTGTGGTGCCCTAATAAACCCCGAGAAACTCATCTGCCCGGCATAGAGGCGAACAACGTACTGTGCCCTCGGCTGCGCGCTTCTTCAACGCCACGATCGCGTCGTTTATCATGCGCTGGGTCTGGATCTCTACTCCGTAAAGCCTTCAACCAGCAATAAGGGAAAGGCAACAGAATGCCACGCGGTTAGCACTGGGTTTCTAATGGGCGTTGAACACAGTTATGAAGTTACTGAATCATTAATGTGCCAGTGCGGCCGGCGAGGAAGCACCGGCAGATTACTCGGCTGTCCACACTGTGCTAGTAGCAAGGTAACGGACGGTTCCTGTGTAGCTGCAAAGCAAGAACTAACTTGCTCGCCTCTTCCACATCAACGTTTTCGTCTCCAAGAACAAGTATGGCCAAGAGGATGCCTGAGCGAGACTGACCAATGGCCTGTCGGCTCACAAACAGCTGTAGATACCAGTGCGCACACCCGACGCATAGGGGCCAATTCAGCACGCTAGTTCTGCAGGGAATGTGGAGAAGCTTCAAGAAAAGCGACTCACGTGGGTCACCCTGCTAAGGAACGGGACACGTATAAAGTGCATAAATAATAGGCGAACAAGCAAGCTAACCTGATCACGCTTGAAAAGTGCGAATATCTGGAGCGGATGCTCTGAAGGGAGTCTGCGGAAATAGCATCGGTGTCTCCAGGTGTCCATGCTGCTGCGAATCTCCCTGAGATGAGTGTGATTCACGGGAGGTAGAACTGGCTTCTTATCGAGCCCGTCCTTTTGTGAGCTATGGTCTCCTCTATCTGTATCCGCCTGTTCGAACTTTTGCAAGTCAGTGCTCTCCTGGGTGCTGTCAAAGGGCAGAGCTCCCTGCAACGAGCCAGGCAGAGGGGAATACAGGGCACATAAACAAAACGCTAATGTGGAGTTATTGCAATTCGTAAGGAATTCTCCCCTTCAGAAGTAACATTTTTCCCAAAATCTCTGCATTGGAACCTAAATATCTGTTTTTGGGGGCTACAGCATTGGGCCCAGAACGGCTTACAATCAGAACACTCTCTGCAGTCGGCTCGAAGACCGCCTCCTCAAGAATCTGCACGGCAAACTGAGCCGAATAAAAGGAGTACGTTGACGCACAAGAAACCGCCTGGCAGGTGCTCAGGACGCATTTATGTAGACTGGTATTAGACGCCTGAACCAACAAAATCGCTCACATACAATAGGGAAGGATTACAAAAGCAAGAAGCTTCGCAACAAGAAGGAAACAAGAAAATTCTGTTTTTGTGAAAGCCAAGAAACTCCACCCACAGGCACAGAAGAGAGAAGCAGAGAGCCTGTTCTTACCAGGCAGAGGCCAGACTTGGATGGCGCTGTGCTATCCAGGAACGCCGCTCTGTCCAACAGATAGTCGAATGTGTTGGACAAGCATCGGTCCCATCCCAAGAACCCTGCAGAGGTAGTCAGGATCACAAAACGGCAGGTTGAGGGAGCTGCAGGTGCGTCCGGTCAGTGGAAGCAGGCCTTTTCATACATCCTAACGATAGGATAAGCATGCTCAGGAACTCACCGTGTGTACTCGTTCGCTCATGTATGGAAGTGTCCATGGCCTTCATAACCGTGTCGGGGCTAAAGAACGGGATAGGAGTAGTTGCAAGGATGCGGTAAGGATGACTATCCAAGAAAAACGATGCAAAACGATTGGTAGAGCAGTCCCCTGACAACAAAGGCAGAATACCAGTCCTCAATGCATACCAGAAGTGCCGAAGGACAGAAACTGGAGTGTCGACATGAACGAAACATCTCGGACTCCCGCAAGGGGCTTGGTAAGGGTAGTTCTGAAGGAAGAGGGCCATTGGCGTGGTTTCAACGTGCCTGCCTTTAGCCGGGTTATCATGGGGACAACAATGACCCCGTCTCTTTCCATCTGAACAAGGAGCTCGTCTATGCGGGCGGTAAGGCCTTTAAGATCGAATTCCGGTTTTCTCGAAACTGGCTGCAGACCGCACATTGTTTTAAAAACAGCACAACATTTTACTTCCGTGACAACAGAAAGAAGGGAGCGAGAGCCAGCTCTAGCCGTTGCGCGCCTGTCGGAGATTCTGGAAGACTCTTGCATGCAGCAGGCAGAGCGCAGCACGAAAACGCAGACTTACGACAGATATGGCACCAACTCTGTGCTCAAAGAGGGTCTTTCGTGTTTGCCTCAGGATTGTGAGAGTGGCTCTGGCATCCTCGCCAGCTTTGGTGGGGAAGTTGGGAAAGTTTCTGAGAGCGGCCCGAACACAAACATGTGGACAGTCGTAGCTACTTTAATGCCCACAGTGATCATGGGCCAGTACTCGACTGGGAGAGTGTTTTTCAGTGTCAAGCTCGAATTCTTAATTCAGTACGAGCAGGCCCTAGCAAGAAGCTTGCACACCTTCCTTGCTTGTGTTCGTCCAACCCCGAGCGCAATTCTTGACTCCAGTAAAAGCTGAAACTCTTGGCTTTGACGCTTGTGTGTCCGAGACGCACACTCATCATGAAGCTGCCTATATCACGTATAAGTCGCAGGCGTCGACTTCCCTGCACCTTTCATAGTGGCTGTCTTGTTGGCGCTAGGCAAAAATGCTATCCTGCAGTGAGCCTAAGGGCGTCTTAAGGCGTCTATTCTAGGGAGACTGCTGCAGTTGTGGCCCCTGATAATTCCTGGTTCTTCCTTGAAAATATAAGAAGTCTCACCCGCTTCGGTCACAGAATTCGTGCCTAAATACAGGGTATAGCTGTTTGTGCTGAGCAGAGAGGAAAGACTTCTGCAGCGCCGCCCAAGGGAGATCCTTGCACTGGCAACACATTTGCGAAGGTTGGACAGACTTTCCTGATGGGATAAAAATGGCAGCAAACATTGCCAGAGTAGGAAACGTACAGGTATGCGGAAGCTAAGCACCGAGTCAGGGATCTTAACCACGAGAGGCTGAGGCATAGTCACTTTATCTTTAGAGGCATAGCCACTTTATCTTTTCCTTTGATAGAACAATCGTGAAATTGTAATACCAGCATCACATATAGCTCCAAGCTTGGTGCAGCCATGGGAAACGTGGAACAAAAGGGCAGCTGAAAGATGCTGTTGACCGTCAAATGAACCTGAACGGAAGCAAATTTAGCGGCTTCATAGGGACAGGTATATAATAGAGGCCCTGGAAGAAACGTCACAAAACCTAGAATGACCGACACAAAGGCGAAGAAAGATGCTCATAGTGGGGAGAAAGCATGTGGGTTGTCGCCGTAGCTTGAATTTTAGGGGGAACAACTTCAGCGCAGTGCATGTGCCCACTGAGGTATCGTCTATCTTCTTCCGGAACACCCTGTAGCATATTCTCCTAGCGTCTCCACAAACATGTGAGAGGTCTTCTCCTTTATACATGAAGGCGATAGAGACCTTCAGCAAGATATGTAGCAGGGGAGAAGCCACTAGTAGCAATCAGTCTCGTTTTCTCAAGGCTAAAGTGGACGCATAAGGGAAAAGATATCGTGATTCAGTCAAACTTACCTTGTTCTTATTTTCTATGAGGGCGATCGCCTCATGATTGAGCTCCATGTACGCCATGCGCACCTCCAAGATGATTTCCTTCACCGGAGGAACCTCCTCTAGAGAGGCTCCGTAAGTTAGCATTGTTGATTTGGGCTGCAGTGCGCATCTGCTGGTGGTCCTAGTGCAACGGTCCCTGCTGGAAGGCCTACCGCTGTGATGCAACGGGTGACACTCCTCCGCGCCACCTTGAGCTGCCCTAAAAATAATTAAAAGATCTGGGGGGCAGCATTTAGCAATAAACAATGAGAGACAAATGCATAGGTGCATGAAGCAGCACCGCAACTACAGCGTCACACCGCACGTGGTGGTGCCTCTGCCCTAATCACTTTAGGGTGGCCCGAACAACACATACGACGCAAACGCTGTTTACAACAGCCAATTACAACGCCTTAGAATATTCTGCTTGAGAAATAAGAGTATGCGAGGCATGGGCCCATTCGGGGTCTCTGGTCCCCCTGCCCTGCTCAATGGGCACGGCGGTCGTGAGACCCCTTATGCACAAAGAGGCGAAAATTAGTCGAGTACACCTTTTAAGTAGGTGTATACTTGCATTACATAACATAATAGCCAAGAGCTCTTGAATTTGAGAGAGGAAAACCAAAGGTTCTTCTCGATAATTTTGCCGGTCTGGGGCCTCAACGGCGGCCTGGTCCACGCTCGTGTTAAGCCAGCCTTCCAGGACGGCGAAAGCGTCTGCACACAAGGGGGAATAGTTGGAAGCGGATTAGACAGCGGCAAGGCAATTGCAAATTCTTGTGGACTTGTGATGTATAGGTGTTCATATTTCGGCCCCTTTGGAATGCCCTTTCAACAAAGGCACACCAAAGCCCCACGACGGCGGCAGCCACAGCAACAACGGCAGCACAGCAGATTGAGCAGCCCTTTCTGTTGTCTCTGAAAAAAAACGGCTACTCGAACATGCTTAGGACTTGATGATATACTTCATTAGGCACTAGCGCTAAGACAGAGGCGGCGGGCAACGACGGCTCCCGCTCCGGCGTACACATACAAAACGCCTGCAGCAGCCAGGTCGCGCCTCCTGCTGCCGCAGGGGCGGTGCAGTAGCAGCAGCAACAGTCCTTTGCGCTTCCTGCCTCAAATTATACTTGATCTTGTTTGTTTCCCACTATTTTCAGTATTTACATAGGGCTTAGAGGGCGTCTTCCCCCCATAGCCCTCGCCACGCCACTTGTTGACGCTGCAGCAGCGCAACATACCAACTGCGTGACTGCACTAGTGAGGCGCCTGCAAAGTATGCGGGGGCCACCAGACAAATGCAGTGAGACAACTAGCCTATTTCTGGCTGCTCTAGAGTGCTGCTGTTTCTACCGGAGGCGCTGGGCGCCGCAGCAAGGGGCCCCACCCTCTGCTGCCACCGCAGCGAGGAGAATCCTGGTGGGTCTTGGGGGCCCCTTACGGTATAACCGAATGATGCATACGCATTGTCATGTACTGTAGTCCCTTATTACTTCTTCGGCCTTGGTCTGTGTGCATTTCTTCATCGGAACCACGCGCAGCTGCGCCGTGCCCCTTTTACTGAAGCCGTCATGGCACGCAAGACTCTCCAGGGTCCCCATTAGAACACTGCCCCACTTCCCAAGCTCACAGCGGGGCTACGGTCCATCCGTTTCTTCATCAGGGCTTCGTCTTTTTGAAGATGGGAGGTGTGAGCAGCACAGTCCACTTCGAGAGGCCTGCTCTTGGACCTAACCGTTCTACAGGGCCTCTGGCGCCGCCGGAGAAGAGAGAGGAGGGGCCTAGCTCAGTTTCTGCTTCTTTGGCTAGTGGGAAAAAGCCATCCATGAGTCTGTGGCTAACACAGGACGGCGACAGAACTCTCGACGCCGTCATTCACGCGCTCCGGCAGTGGGGATCTACCAGCGCTCACTTGGCACCTGTAGAATCTTCATGCCTTGAAAGCCTCTCAGGTTGTCTACTGCAACAACACCAGATGCTTCTTGCGTGGAAAATGAGCCGTATAGGGGCCCCAGGGAGGTGTGGCTGCTGTGAGACCCTCCTGCCTTTAGGGGTCTCCCCCAAAGGGGTTACGGGCACTTCGAACGCCACCGATAAGGGGCAAAGGAGACCCTGCAGTAGCAACAGCACCACCAGCATTCGCAGCGACAGCCCTGCGGAAGACGTCAATTTAACCGGCGGAGGGAAAAGTGGGGGGGAGCGAGGACAGGCTTCAGAAGGGTGGAGGCGTACCATCGGAGCAAATATCCCTCACCCTGACCCATCCAGTTGCTACTTGATAATTCACGCATATACTGCAGCGCAGCAGCAGCAAGAGATAAGTAGTACTCTTGAGGGGCCAACAGATAGAAGACGGAGCCTGAGCCCTCCGCGGGCCAGGGGAACTACGAGAAATCCTTCTTTACCAGGGGACCCTCAATGCAACTTCGACGGCAGAAATTACAACAGCAGGGTTGCTGCAGAGCTGATGAGTGGGGATGTGGCGAGTCTTTTATCTCAAGCGGAATCACTCATCGCGCTAGACACCCGCCGCCACAGCGTCTGGCATGCCGTGCACTGCTGCGCTTGCTGCTCCCTTAATCAGCAGCAGCGGCGGCATGTCACGCGTGACGATGCATGCAGAAGGGGCGAGTGCAGCGCACAGTGTTACGAAGCTGATGTTTCCGACTCAAGAAAAGGGGAACAGCTGCAGCCGGAAGAGCAGCAGCCACAGCGCAAGCAGCAGCACCTGTGGGCTGTGTATTTGTGGGAAGGAGTGGAGGCTCCCCGCTATATATTGGTAAGCTGAGGGCCTTATGAAAACTTTTCACGGCGTCTTCTCCTCAGTTGTAGCTCGGCAATGCCGGAGCATGTTTTTCGCGCTTTGTGGCTGTGTTGCCATTGCATTCACTTCTGTTGGTGCCACTGTCACTGCTGCAGGACCACGCTCGACTGCGCACTCTTCGTCTAGTAGACGCTTTCGAGAGCTGTGAGCAGCGGGGTTTTCCTATTTTGCCGGAAGTATTGCTCCCGTGGGCGTCGTTTGCTATTCTGCGGCCAGACCGAGAGGGCCCGCGCTGTTGGCCTGTCGTTAGAGCCTGCCCTGTGGGAGGCGTCTCGGCGTCTCAGACAGAGCAGGAGCCCGTGTTTCTGGATGCGGGAGCTTTGTTGGAGCGTAACGTGCTGCTGCTGAGGCTGCTGCTCAGACCACCAAGGCTGGCTTACAGAACCCCACCGTCTGTCTTGCCCGCGCCAGCGGAGCCGGCAACTGCATCTCAGTCGGCAGCAGAAATTGGGAATCGTGCAGATGAAATACGAAATTCTTCTGCTTCCACAGGGGGTGACGAGCGAGCGACGCAGCAACATCAGCAACAGCAACGGGACCGTCCCTCACAGACTATTCCTGTCGTACCCCCGTTGGCCCTCCCTAGTAAGGGCCTTCCCCAGTTGCAGCATCCGGAGGCAGGCAACAAACGTGATGGCGAAGGACGTCCTCTCCGTATTGACAGCAGTGCCCTGAGGCGGGTCGCGCCAGGCAGGGGTGGGCTTCAGCTGCACGCTACGGATTGTGCAGGCAGCGATGATAACTCGTTCCCATCTTCTTTCTGTGATTCCCCTGTCGCTTCTGGGGAAATATCTCCTTCAGAGTCTCCATCGGCAGAAAGGGCGGGACAAGACATACAAAGGGTATCGCACCGCAATACAGATGGTGGGCCTCTTCGACAAAGAAACTTTCGCCTGCAGGGTGTGCCCAAGCTAGTAATTCCAAGGCTAGGAGGAGGTGAGCCTACAGTTTCCCCAGCGGGGTGCGCACCATCTGGAGAAGTTGGGGGCTCTTTGAGTCCTCCATTCAGGGCTGTGGGAGGCTCTTCGTCCTCTTTCTTACAATGCACAGAGGGAGAAGCATCGAAATCGTTTTCGCTTGCGTTTGGGACATCTTCTGCTGCCTCTCGGGAGACAGCTACTGCTTCATCTTCCCTGAAGCAGCAGCAGCAGCAGGTGCTTCCAGCAGGCGCCCGGTTGTCAGGTGTTTCTGTAGGGTCAGTCGGTGGCCTGCATCACTCTGGACTCCTCAGCTCCCCCGCTGCCTCTTTTGCTGGGTTGCAGCGGTTGGGAAGCGACGGCAGTAGCGCAGGGTCTTCCAGGGAAGCATTTGGCTCTAGGAGGAGGCGCATTGATGATGTAGGCAACAACATTAGCGCCTGTGCGAGCAACATAAGGATTAATAACGTTGCGAGGAACAATAACATGTGTAGTTGTAGCTAGTGGGCAGACAAACCAGGACTTCTGTTGGCTCTATTTCATCATGTTATGAACCACTACAGCAGTAGAGGCAACGTGCTTCCCGCGTCGTTGCTTTCTTTTGTCTCCCCTCAGGATGGCATGGGCCTGTACAGCAGAACTCGTCAGCAGCAGCTAGTCAACTTCAGACGCGTAATTAGTGATGTGTATGAAGGGTGCTTATTCGTATCTGGAGCTGCTGCTGCTTGCGACTTACAGGTAAGTAGGAGTCAGCCAGTTGCAGTGAAACCCGCCGCAGCACAGCTTCAGTCATCAACCTACCCAAGCTAACGGCAATGCAAGGCGCTTCTGTGCCTGTGCGCCAGCGAATGGTAGTAGCAGCATTGCAGGTTTGGGTTCCTTGTACTGTCTGTTCAGTGTCTGAAACAAGCCGGCATAACTCACGTGGTGAACACGATAGGCGACATCTGTCCCAATGTCTTTGCGCCCCTGTTGATCTACAAAACGTATTACCTCAAGGATACGCGGCAGCAGGACATCATGTGCGTTTTTTACGACTGCATCAGATTTATTTACGAGGCGATAGGCGAGAATACCAGGGGTGTAGCTGCGCCCTTGTCTCCACGAGAAAGCATACGCGCTAATACTGATGCTTCTGGTGCTGCTTCACTTGCCGCTGTTAGCGGTGTCTGTAATCCCGATGCCAGCAAAAAAAGCAGAAAGCAAAACAGCGATGAAAGCTGTAGCAGTTTCAGCAACAACAGCGGGAGCAGGAAGCCCCACAAGGTGTTGATACACTGCAAAGAAGGCGTTTCGAGGTCTGCCACTCTTGCTATCGCATTTCTGATGTGGAAACTCCGTCTTCCCTTTGCTGAAGCCTTTGA